CCATGGGGCTGAGCGCGGGGCTGCCAGATTCTAAGCGCAACACTCTTGTACAGTTTTTCAGACACAGATGGCTTTAAAACAGTATTAGACAGATTCATGCAAGACAGGTCTACCAGTGGCTGATAGCCATGATGACGTAAGGAGAGCCTCCACATTCAGGGGCAGTAAACCTCTGAATATCAGTGCCAGGAGGCAACAACAGGAGTGCCTCCACCTCCGCATCCTGTTATTGATCCTCCAGAACAAAAGGCTGTCAACTGCACGAGACAGGATGCTGGACTCAATGGACCACTGGTCTGATCCAGGAGGGATCTTCTCATGTTCACATTGGATGCCAGATGCTTCTGGTGCACCACGAGAAACCAGTTTTATATCTGGGTAACCGGAATGTGGTAATGCTGGTCGTCTTCAGTCAGAAGAGATACTTCGTGCCAGTCCCTCTGATAGGCCTCCATATAGTTTACTTGAAAATCTTTTGAGTTAAACTTAGACAACCTGTAAACAATTATCTTCACTTCCAGAGAATACCCAAGGAGGAACAAATCAACCTGCGGAAGAGAAAAGATCAAAACGATACTTTCAGAAATGGCGAAAGGAAACCACGCACTGATAAGTTAAATGAGAAGCTTTATACTGGTTCTGAATCTTGTCAGCAATATGATATAGGTAAAGGTAAAGGTTCCCTTGCTCGAAAGCCAGTCGAATCCGACTCTAGGGTTGCGGTGCTCATCTCCGTTTCCAAGCCGAAGAGCCAGCGCTGTCCGAAGACATTTCCGTGGTCATGTGGCCGGCATGACTAAACACCAAGGCGCACGGAACGCTGTTACCTTCCCACCGAAGTGGTCCCTATTTATCTACTTGCAATTTCTTGCTTTCGAACTGCTAGGTTGGCAGGAGCTGGAACTAGAGACGGGAGCTCACTCCGTCATGCGGCACACTCGGGTCTCGAACTCCTGAACTACTGACCTTCCACAGCCTGCAGTTCAGCGTCTTAACCACTTGAGCCACTGCAGCTCCCTCAATATGATATATACGCAGTATAATAACCACTATATTTAAATGCAAAACAAAGTATCTATGGACTGAAATAAGTGAGGATCCACAGAAATGTCATGGCTTTTGTTCTGTTGCATTTAAACCTCACGTGCACTTAAATATTTGGCCTAAAGAGTGAAGAATATGCACTTGATGGCAACTGCTGTGTCTGAAATTCATAAAACCTTCACTCATTTTGAAGAGGAAAAGAAGTGATTGGATTTATACCCCACCCTTCACTACCCGAAGGAGTCTCAGAGTGGCTGACAATCCCTTGTGTTACATCTTTCAGAGATGCTGCATTTCCTTGACTTTGGCAGTGAACTTGCCCATCAGACATCATCTCATCTGAAGTCGCCAGGAACCTGGTGGTGGTGGTGGTGGGGCACTGTCTTTTGTGACTTGCTGCTATCCTGGATTACATGGGGGAGGGGGGACCAGGGAGCTTTGTTTTGTGGTGGTACCCACTGGTACCGAGCACTATCACCTTTTTTGAGGGGGGTCTCCCAATTCCTGAGAGGGAAACTGGTGGGAATTGGTGCAAACTTGTACATGAGTACAGGCACCTTGTGTTTTGTTGTTGTTTTAACATATCGAGTACTGTGTAAAAGTGATTAAAATGATCATACTTTTTACACATGTTCACCCTGGCGATAGCTACACCCTCTTTCTCTTGGCAAAACCATCTACTGCAAGTTGCTGGGAACATTTACCCAGGTTATGCATCATAGTGAAATCTTGTTAATGCAGCGGAGTGAGCTTATTTCTTATCAGGGGTCATTTCATAGAAAAAGAGGTGCAGGAGCTCATTGGCATAACTCATTAGCATAGGCCACACCCCCTTACATCACCGGAAGTGTGTCAGAAGGCAACACCCACCGCTCAGGCTCCACTGGACTGTTTTGGATTGCTAGCTATGGGGGGGGGGACACATGCAGATCTGTCCTTGCAGAGGAGGGAGAGCTTTTACCTGAATAAAACTTGGTCTTAAAGGTGCCACTGGACTGTTTTGGATTGCTAGCTATTGGGGTGGGGAACGTGCAGATCTGTCCTCACAAAGGAGGGAGAGCTTGTACCTGAATAAAACTTGGTCTTAATGGTACCACTGGACTGTTTTGGACCGGAGGGCCAGGGGGGGCCTCTGCAACTTACTCACCTGGCTGCTTCTTGCACTGAGGGCTGCTGGGAGCAGGGGACGGGGCTTGTTGCATGTGCCCGCCCCCTGGGCTCTTCACTGCCGGAGCTCCGCTCCTGTGTGCTCCTGCAGGAAATGACCCCTGTTTCTTACTATTGTCTGCATCTGAACTTTGTATTAATTTATGACAAAATTCTGACTGACCACAGATGCGTGATGGCTAGTTATATGGATCTCACTGGCAATCCGCGTAGCAACACTTGTCCTGTCCAGCGTGAGCTGCAGCTGAGGCAAACGCTTTCCAGGTGTGAGTCAACGCACAGCCACTGAAGAGAGCTTAAATATTCTATTTAACTTCACGTGCATTCAGTAGATCATTTACTCACAATCGAGCTGATAGCTGGATAGAGCGTTACATCTTTCTGATCTAGGTCAATCCTATGGCCGTGGTGAGAAAAGAGATGGGCTTCCCCTCTCCTTGCAATAAGGGTTGATGGACAAAGAAACAGAAAAGAACAATAAAACTCCTATTTTTGCGCCTCTGAGCTCAGGAAATTACTCTTAATGAGCCAGTCAGAGGGAAGCTTCCGGGACCCCTAACTGTGGACTCCAATTCCCAGGTGCAACTACTCTGAAAGGTACATTAACACTGGCTGGGGGCAGCACAACACTTGTAGGTGTCCGTGGCGTCCTGCAATTACAAAGCAGTTGTTCTTTCTCCCAGCTACAGAGCGCCACTTTTGTGTCTTTGTTAGATTTATAGCAGAACCTTCTGTCACATTCTTTGGGCTTTCTCCCTGTTGGGGTGCATTTGTGTCCTCTAAAACTTTCCTCATCTCTATTGCTGCCTATGCACTTCTTTCTTGGATCAGTAAGGTCAAATTGTATAGCAAAATGTTGTGTTCATAACTCCATTGCTCCTGATATATCTAAAATATAAAATTGCCCAGACACTGACAAAGGCTGCTCATGACACACAGTTTTTCATCTTCAAGCCTTATCTACGACTCCACATTCAGAGGGAGTTCAAATTGACTGGACCCCCGCTGCCCGATCCAAAAGCAAGCGTGCTCTTATACTGGTCAAGATGGTTTAGGTGGTGTTCTGAAAGAGACTGCTCCGGAGATCAGAGATTTCGGTAATAAAAAAGGGGCTTTCTACTGAAGGAACGCTTCCCTTCCTCTTGGGACAGATCGCCTGAAATGTCCGTCTGACAAGACCGAAACACACACACACAGCCCAAAGCGACTGTGCACTTGGCGCTCTGAAGGGTTTTGACATTTTTAAAGACCATAAAGATGTACTGTGGGATCCAGCTATATGCCCTGATTGTGCCACCCTATGGCTGAATTGCACCTACAGGAGGGCCAAAAGATACAGGCAGAGCCACCTCAAGAGGAGTTCTGCCCTTCTTAGTTCATCTGTTCCATCTAAAAATGCTTCTACCGTGCACTGGACTCAGGTCGGTGGGCTTAGTAGGGGGCAGCTCCACGTAGGGCGGCACATCAGTCCCCTTGGCCAGCAAACCATAAAGCCGATGCACCGGCATCGGGGACTCTGTGGCACATTAAGAGTTCAGCAACACTGGCCTCGCTGTGGCCTTCCCATCCCAGTCTACACGGGCACCACTGCGGGGCGGCACGGCTGGGGGAAGGGAGGAGGAGGATCCCGCCGGTTCTCTTAAGTTCCCTATCCCCAAATCTGCTATGAGGGCAAAATAAACGGCCTACGTTAAAACGCTCACGAGAGAGTATTTTGACATACTGTACAGCCAATCCCGGCACACCCAGGATGGTGAGCAACTGACACCGCTGGCTGCCTGCTGTGGGTTACCCCCCTGCTTTCGGAGTCATTTCGGAGCGGTGGTTCTGCCTTTTTCCCAGACCTCGCTTCTAGGGTTGTTTGTTTTTAAATGTAAGAGTGCAGTACTACTAGGCGATCTGCACCAAAGAAGACCCCGAAGATTGAAGACTCAAGTTTTGCATGTCTTATTTCTGTATAGAACATAGTTAGCAGTGTAGCATGCCAATTATCCATACTTATAGTTGTAAGGCTTGTTAGCAATGCATGTGGGTAGTGGAACCCGTAAGATTGCCAGGGCGGGGAGTGTGCTGTCCCAGCCAGCGTTTAACTGTAGCTAAGTAGAACTGCCACATATCTTTAAGAGCAGTGGCCTCTGGGAATTGAAGTCTTTAGTTAGACATCCAAAAGCATTCCTGTGACTGGCTGATCAACAGTCATTTCCGGCACCCAGAGACGCGGGAATTCGAGTTTTATAGCCTTCTTACCATTCCTTTGTCTACTCTTTAAACTGCAAGGAAGGCGGAGCACACTATCTTTTTTCACCATGAGCCAGAGAACAGAATTAGATCACAAAAGATGTAAGTAAGAACCCTCCTGAATGCATGTGAAAACTGAATAAAATGATTAAATTCTACATGACCCCGGCTTGTCAATCAAAGCCCAACGGAGGCTTCTGAGAGCTATTGCCCCACCCATTTTCAGCTGTTCCTCTGCTGCACGACTAATTACTTCCTCTTCTCCGGGCTTCCTGCAGTCATGAACCAACTGAATATTATCAGCTCTTGATCCCCAAGGGAAGAGGTGGTGGGCTCAGGTGTTGATTTTGCGCTGTGCAGTCTGCCAAAGTCCCTACTGCTTTTCGTTTTCTGGTATTTCATAATAACACTATTACAATCTTAAACAATTAAAAGAAGTACGAGCTGCAACTCTGGCTGGCTATTAAAAAAAAAAAAAGCTACTTCACAGGACCCTCCCACAAGAACTAAAATGGATCATTTGCTTCCAATTAATGAATGCCAGTGAAGAGCAGGAGTAAATCCGATCGGGAAACAGGACTTTTGGTGGAAGGGGCTTTACTTCCAAGTATACAAGTAAGTAAAATCTTGCCCGTGGGGAGAGATTCTTATGGGGGGATACACCACTTTATGAAGTGCCTTGTGGAACGCCACTTCCCTTGGCAGCCAACCGTGGAAAAGGAAGAACCGGGCAGCACAGAAACGCTGGCAGTGTGCAAACAGTGTGCTTAGAACACACAAGAGGGAACTTTAGTGAAGAGACCCCTGGAAAAACGATACTACACAAAAAGAGACTTTAGGTCATATAGCTGTCCAGCCAGTTTGCAGATGACATGAGGCAGCCACCTTAGTGGGGAATGTCTGAGACAGGCATTGCTAGTGAAATTATCTTGAGACCGTGTCCCTCCCATCAGTATATGAAATACACATCAGAATATTTAATTCAGTAACGGGTAACTGCAAAGCACAGGCAAAGCGGCAGCTGACCAGACAGTGAAACTGCCTTATGACAGGTTCTATGAGGGGAAAAAATAACCACGCGGAAGTATCTCGGCTGGAGTTCTAAGCCAGCCGCAGGCAGCAGAACAACATCAGGAGTAAAGCTCAGCTCCCTAAGAAACTGGGCTTTCATTTTCAGAAAAGCAAGTTTCTAGGCCTTATGAAGGCTATGGAGATATAACTGAATGTGCTGGTGTAGCCTCTCAGAAGCCAGATAAACGGCTGAATAACAATATCTTCAATGGAGAGCAGACAGGGCTTCAGGGTCCTGCGTAGCTCTTTTCTTCTCTCATGACAAGCAGTATTTTTTGTAGAAAAAGCCCAGCAGGGACTCATTTGCATAATAGACCACACCCAACAGCAGAAACGTATTAGCCTATTGGGCCACACCCCGACAGCACAGCTCGTCAGCATATTAAGCCACACCCCCATGCCTTCCCTTGAAGGGAAGGGAAGGCAGCTTAAACTGTCTTCCCTTGGCTTGCCTGGGTGCCCCGGGACTGTGGGAAGCCCGGGCAAGCCAGCCCTTGAACAGGCCGGGGACGGCATTTAACTGCCTCCCCAATCCTTCCAGGGCCCCCCTGGCCACCCTGCCTCGGAGTCGCCGGGGAGGGTCGCTCTCCAGGCCTCCCCTCTGTAGCCACGCATGCGCAGAGGTTTTGGCTGTAGTGGGCGTGGCCAACTCTGAAGTCAGCCGGAACTCCGTTCCTGTGCGTTCCTGCCCCAAAATAGCCCTGACAAGCAATAGCAAAATAAAGCATACGAAGGCAGAATTATAGTTGTAGAATCCAACTTCCCTTGGCAACATATTCTGATTTTCGCTGGGTTTAATGGCACATGGACCAAGTCTTGACTTGGATAAAAGTCCCCCATTCATCTCATGAACACATTCCTAACATTGCAGTCTATTGTCTCTCAAGAGCCACGGAACCTCGTCAGCTCAGCAGGGTTGACTTTGGCAAGTCCTTGGACGGGAGACCCCCCCCCCCCGGAATGCCAGCAGTCGGGAGGACGGGGGGCAGTCACCAGAAGTCACCATGCTTTCCAGGTGCATATAGCCACACCTACTAAAAAATATACAAAAAAGCCACAGAGCCGGCACACCTTGACTGCCAGCCCCCTGCTCACCTGGTCAAGGCCTCGCTTGTCCCCTACAGAATTCAGGTGATTTATCATGTAACTCAAAGGGTCCAAGGATGTGTCACGCATGAAGAGGTGGTGAAAAAAACCTGGGATGCGCTCTTTGTTGTTCAAACATTCATAGGCTTCTATTACTTGGTACAGCATGATGAATTTCACAGCCTCGTACATCTGGTGTTCAACGCTTTCGTCCCCAAAAAGCGCACTGCACAGGTTTCCTCTTTCATATGGGTCCTTTATGCGGCTGATTTCCATCCACTACCAAGTAAGGAACAATTTTAAAATGCTAGAAAACAATTTTTGATGCTAGAAAACTCAGCAATCAAAAGAAGCAGGTTCTTTCTAGCACTTTGCACAGTCCAGTGTTTGCAGGTATAACCAACTGCTCTATATACTTTTTGCCGTTCATCCAGTTAATTTACCCAACATAGACAGGTTGCTCTTAAAGTGGGAGGGGCAGTATCAATATGCAAAATAAAGAATTACATTGCTCATTCCGGCAAGGGACCTATCGATCAACCAAGCCACTCACCGGCCACATATGGCAGTGCTTGACCATTTGCCTGCTGGTTGCAGCCATGCCTGCCTGCCTGCCATAAGCCCTCCCTTAAAGGATAGAACAGCCCCCTCCCCTTGCCCTTTATAGACAGAAACCGAGCAACTGTCAAGCCTGGAATACTGCCCCAAACTGTTGTGGTTGCCTAACAACAGCCCCTGCATGCCACCGAGGGCCTCCGTTTATTAAGGCTACATTCTGGGTTTTAAAACTGCCCGATGTATTTCTCTTTCTTTGGATGTCAGATTTTTCTGCAAACCTGAGCCATTTTCAGGTTTATCAAAAGACCCATCTTGTCCATTCACTGCTCTAGTCTCTGGATTTAAGTATCCTCGGATTTGACTGACTTCACTATTAGAATATACAAGTGGGGACTCGCAGGCAACTCGCGGGAGCAGCAATCCCCTCCCACCCGCCTTTTACTCCTTCCCTCTGCCCCCACTTCTCTCACGGTCTCTTTCTTTGTCCCCAGCCAATGTTCCCTCTAAGCTATGGAGTCTTGTGAGCAAAAATTCTACTTTGTGAGCTCCTGGCATTAAAGTTGTGAGCGAGCGATTTGGCTACTGCATAAATTAGTTTGCTCTGGAGCCATCCTTCCTGAGCGGAGACCAAAATAGGTGAGCCAGAGGCTAAAAAACTGTGAGCTAGCTCACACTAACTCAGCTTAGAGGGAACACTGGTCCCCACCCCTTCCTTTCTGTTTCTCTCTGCTGGTCTCCCCCCCCCCCGCCCCCCCATGGCTACTGTCATTCCTTATCTCCTTCTGCCTCCCTCACCCGATCACTCTTTTTCTCTCCTTCTGCCTCCCCCATCCTCTCATTCTCTCCTTCTTTGTTAGTGGTGGCAGGACAGATCTATGCTGCAAGCATCCCTTGGATTTAATAAAACGATTCAGCCTGTTGTTTCTCCTCAACAAGGACGTGTGGGAACCGTGAGCTCTCTGAGGGACTGAAGGATGTCTAAAAAGGGGTGCTTCTGATTCATGCAAAACAAAAATACTGCCTGTTTCCGGGGAGGATGCCATCCAATGGTTTTAACTCCTCCCAAGTTTATTATGCAGATGTACCTATACAAACGACAGCAGGCAGGGCGCTGAATACTTGAGAGGAGTTGCTGAGTACTGCACTATAGTCCAATATCTGTCCATTAGGGTTACTACACAGGACGGTGTAACTGGCACGTCATGTACAATGCAGTGTAAATGATTAACTCAACTCCACATTCTTTCCAATGGTACCAACAAAGTAAGTACCCGCCTGTCACGAAAAGAAAACACACACACACAGTAGCCTTTTAGGGGGCATGAGCTGACTGAAGAGTGGATGGTTTGGTGGTTTTTCAATCACTCTCACTGCCTGTCCCCCCCCCCCCCCCCCCCCGGCAGCCTTCTTGACTCCGAGATTCTAAAAGAAACGTTACCGCATTCTAAGACCCTACTACTTGTGAGATAAAGTTTCTTTTAAATATTTCCCTCACACGCTCATCATAGCAAACTTGCAAGCTTAAAATATACAGAATACCTTTCAAATACCCTAACCATGAAAATGGATTATCAACTAGATTTTTAGTTAACTGGTTCACTACCTGAACCAACTAAGGGTTGCAGTCCTTGTGTTTTTAACACTGCGACAGCAGCCACCACACGTATTGTACAGTTCTATTGGTCTTGCTACCATTTTCCCACTCACCTGATTTTTTAACGTGTCGATGCATTTGCGTAGTTTTCCTAATGTGTGTGAGCTGGTGTACCGTTCTGGCCCAAAGCTGTACTGCTGGATCCAGTTGCAGCCTTGTGAGTAAAGAAGCTTCTCGGGGAGCTGAAAGGAAAGAATCGAACCAGAGAGTCAGGACATTTGGGAGACAAAAGGGGGGGGGGGGGGGCACGCACACACCCCCCACACAGGCTCGGAAAGGGAATCAGGCTCTCGGGGAAAGCTGGCGTCTCCCTCAGCAAAGGAGCCACAGGGAGTGGAGGAAAAGCCAAAGGTCCCCACTGCTTCTTCCATTCCTATTTCTGTGGAACATACAAGAGAACACGTTCCTAGGTCGAAGTGCACAGCCACAGTTTTTGGAAATGTAGACAAGTAAGCTGAGCTAGCAGAACAGTGACTATTCTCTAGACTTGCCTCTCCTTTGGCCTATTGAAAAGTATGCGCACGGAGAGTGATTTCAGCTAAGCATACCTTTATTTAGCCCGGAACAAAGACACCTTGACCGGCTCGCAGGCCGGCTTATATTCCCTCAGGGAAACCCACCACCAAACACCCCCCCCACTCCCGATAGGCTATTTACAGTAATCAAGAGACCTATTGGCCTCTTGGCCCGGGCCCTAGCCCTTTCATTGGGCCTGGCTAGGATCCGACTTGCCCATTGTCTTTTGGTCTGAAGCTAGAGTATTTGTGCCTGGACAAGTCCAGGCATGCCCGGCCCTGTCAGGGCCTGATACACTACACCTATCTTGTGTGTTTTTTTAAAACAAACAAACAAAGGAACTGCACTTGGAGAAGATGCAACACTTTCACTGTATATGCCGCGACTTATTTCACAACACACCTTTAGAACATCTGTTGCCTTCATCCATGGTGGAAGAGGAATACCTTGGTTAAATATTTGAAACAACACAGCTCTCAACACGCAGTAGTTATCTCTCCTTACTTGACGTATATATTTGACATGATGTCTCCAAAACAGGTCTTCGTAAGCCTTAAAAAAAGGGGACACATATAACAATAAAGGAAACTTCTTGATCTTCCTAGCTGGATCTGTCATGAGGTAAGCTTAGGTGACTGATTCTGGGCACCATTAAAAACAGCAAGACAGGCGGCCACCAAACAAGAACAGAGCTCATGGACATATTTGGAATATTTACTTCCCACCACCTTTTCTCCCTTAAACTCAAGGCAGCTAAACACACACAGATTAAAAACACAGCCAACTCTGCCAAAACTATTTATCCTCCACTAAGTACTCTTTGAAATGAAACTGTCTTTTTAAATGCAGCCAGAGAAGGTGCCTTCTGCACCCGCTCACGTAGGCCGCTCCAGAGATATACCAGAAAGACAGGCTGTGACCTAATTGTTGCCGTCCAGCCAATCCTAAGATGGCATGGAAAAGTGCTGCCTGAAGAGTGCGACTGGCACAGTCGAGGAGCTGGGCGAGCCTGGGGAAGATGCCCCGTGCAGGTCCCAAGGCAGGGCGTGCCAGCCCTGCAAGAGCAGAGTTGCGTTCTCACGCAGCACCCTGTTTGTTTCAGCGTGTTGCACCCAAGAGAACGTCCTACTCGACTGTGAGCCCTGCCACAGTAATTGGCGCCCAAGAGGGCACCATTTAGTTCTTCCAGCTCAGGCAACTCAACATGCTTATGACCAGCCTGAGACACATTCTGTTCCATCAGAAAAGATGGGATTGATCATGATGCTTTTGCCAAAGCAAAATTCTTGTGTGCGTCCAAACGACAGGGCGGCCACCTTGACGCACCACTGTGGGGAAATCCAAACTAACAGCTGTGTTTGGACAGTTAAAGGCCAGAGACCAGAGTTGCGGTCTAGTGCCTTGCACACACACACCCTGTTCACGCTTACTTCCCCTTTCTTTCCTTTGAGAAGGTCAAGACTTTCCCCACACCATAGCGAACTTCCACGAGAAATGCTTCTGTTGAGTATTACAAGTTGAAAACACTCAGTATATCTGGGGTTAAATGTTTGTTTATGTTACTCACAGGAAGTCACATGTTTTTCATGTAACCAATGTTCTTTAGCTGTAGAAAGCCCGGGAATTTTCTCCCTGATCTAGGAATTTGATTGGGACTAAAGTGTCAAGGTGTATTAGCATTTTATGGCTCTCTTCCTGTCTTTGTTTGGTGTTCTGAAGAAGAAGAAGAGTAGCCATAATCTCTCTCTTCTAGTTTTGTCTTTGTAGAGTAAGGATGTAGCCGATTTTGCTCTGTTGTTATTTTCATCCCAGTTACCCTTCCCCATGCTAGAATTTAGTAAAACTTTTATATTTTAATCACACATGGACTCTCAGTCTGAATTATTTTACTCTGGCTCTGCTGGGCTATCTTATCTCTGCTAAATGCCTTTTTTTTCGATATCTCCCTATCACCCAACAGCTTCCCATTCTGATAGAGCCCAGGAAAGCCAGTGCCAGAGATGCAAGTCAGGACTGTGCGCAGCTCTGGCAGAGACAGGCCGAGGGCTTCCACCACGTCACACCGTCCTGACCGGAGGTGCCCGGGGGGCGGAGTGCCCAGCAGATGCTCTTCCCACTGAGCCACGGCCCATTTCCACACAACAGCTCAAATCCCCCAAGAGGAAACCCTCCTTTCCAGTTTGGCTTTCAGTCTGCGAGCAAACGGAACTGGCCAAGGCAGACGGAGGGCTCCCGATCTGGCGCTTCACTCCTCCATCGCTCTGACCTCTCTCATCTTCTGGGCCTGCTCCGCTTCTCCTGTCCACTTCTCCGCACAGTAGCCGAGCAGGTCGGCTTCAGCCAGCACAGAGCGGCTCTCTGAGTCAAGCACAGACAGGGGAGTGGAAAAACAGCAGATTAGTTTTAAGACGTAGCACGGAGGACGGGGGAGGGGGAGGGGGGGCTTAAAAACAAAACTCAATTTTTACTTGTGAATTTTCTCTGCAGGTATCTGCCCCACCTGAAAGCCAAACAAAAAGGGCAGTCAGAGAGGCGGCGGCGGCAGTGAGCAAACACGGATGATGTCAGAAAGTGGACAGCAGGAGGACCAAAAGGACGGACGGAAGGATTTCTCCATGCAACGTAGAGCTCATCGGTTCATGGCCAGACAAGGCAGCCACGGATGCCGAAGGCTTTTTGATGGCTTCAAGACCAATTAGAGAAACTGAGGATCCGCCGACACCCGTTGTCCGCGATAGACAAATGGAACCCTATGTAAACTAATGGTGCTTTCACACTGAATCACGCACTTGCAATGCACTTGGCAACTGGATTTTACTGTGTGAAATGGCAAGATCCAAAACCATCGCCAAAGTGCACTGAAAGTCAGTTGAAAGTGGATTATTCAGCATGCGTGAATGTGAACAAACAGGGAGGCTGCATCACTGGACAACACAAGGAAGTCATCCCCCGAACACTCTTTGGGAGTTTCCAGGGCCCTGAGACTGGCTGCCCTTGGAAACAGAGTACCAAACTAGATGGGACTTCAGTCTCATTGAGCAAGGAGGTTCTTAGGGAAGCCACTTCCAGTTTCAACCTACCATTTTAAGAGATGCACGAGGTACGTATACAGCTGCCTGCAATACCAGAGAGCAGCTGTAAGAAGAGGCATGCTTGACTCAGGCGGTCTCTTTACAGCTCGGAGCCTGTCGAAGGGGGTGTGGTGGGCAGCTCTACTCCAAGACTGCAGCTCATTCTATCCTAAAATGTGGGGGGAGAGAAAATTAACAAGCTTCATAGTGTTTGCGAGAGATAAAGTTCGTTATTTACATCATTCCAGACAGGATCACCTGAAGGTATCCGCCTGGGTACACTACCCCATTCACACACACACACCCAGAAGCACGGAGAAACAGACCCCTCTCAATGCGCACAGCTTGGGGGGGGGGCAAATGTGGGAGAAATCAGGTAAATTGAAGCAGCCTTTGCCGACCCTTCTTTAAATCACAATCTGGATAAAGAATTCCTTTTACTAGCACCAGCTTTTTTTTTAATCATTTGAGGAGTTTAATTAATATGTCTTTCATTATCATTGTAGCCCACTGTGCAGTCCATAACTGCCCAAAAGCTGGCTGAAAATGTCCCAAATACACAAACAAATCAAAGATCATACTCATGATAGAAACAAAAACCAAAAACAGGCAGAGATGCTGTTGGGGAAATTGGACAGCATCCTTTTGGAAAACTTCAGTTAATTGGTAGTTCTTCTAGTAGGCAAGTGGATTGGCTGTGTGGAGAACTCCTGCCTCCTTGCTTGGACAAAACAATGACTCCCGAGGAGCAAGAAGAACCCACTCCCTCCTCTAAAGGCAGGGAAGAGGGCACAGGAGCAGAACGGGACCCCAGGAGCGGCCACGCTGCCTTTGGTGAGCGGTGCCTCCGACCAGGCCGCCTCTGCCCATGCCTCCTCAGCCAAAGAGAACCACCCCTGTGTCGGAGCCGTCCTGGATGGGGCTGAGGGAAGTGGCAGGCATCTCTCTGACGTGGCTGCTACCAGTGCTCAGCCCCTTCTGACGAAGCTCGAGCCTCGGGTTCCGGTGGCAGGTCGGCACGCTTCAACAGGCCTGGATGAACCGGAGGAGACGATCCTTCACCAGACAGCTGGCCGGGTTATTCCTGAGACGCAAAAACTGGTGCTGTCAAAAGCAGCTGGTGCCAAAGAAGCTGTAAGCAAGGCCGTACAGAGTGGCAAGGAAATGGTGGTGGACACGAACATGGGCAAGAGGGCCTCGAGTGGAGCAGAGGCCAGGCTGGAGAAGCCAGAGGAGTTGCTAGACCACCGCCTCCCAATGATGGGCGAAGAGCTGGCTGAGGTTGCAGAATCGGCACCAGCAGGAGCGGACACAGTTTCTGAGAATCCCGGCTGCTTTGTGAGCCCGGGCTCCCTGTCGAGTAAGCTCCGCCACCGTGCCTACCAGCATGCGGTAGCTAAGGCGGAAATGGCCAGAGATAACATCAACAAGGCTTTCTCTTGGCTGCATCAGTACCTCGGGCAGACAGAGCATACAGAAGAAGATGTTGTCTAGGAAGGCCAGGAGAAGCTGTATCAGACAGAAAGTCAGACCTTGGACATGTCTTCCCACATCACCGATCGGCTGAAGACGGTGTTCAAGAACCCAACTGCCGACAGCCAAGGCCTCCCGGGCAGCATGCGTATGCCACAGGCACAGGACAGCACAGAGGAGCTCCATGCGTACTTTGCCACTGCTCGGTCTTTCCATGACCTCTCGAGCATCATACTAAGTCAAGGCCAAGAGAAGACCCTCAAAGCCCAGGACTAGGTAGAGGGTGTTCTGCAATATGTGCTCAATAACACTCCATTGTCCCGGCTTGCAGGGCCACTTGCTCCTGGACTGGACAAACCAGGAGATGATACAGAGCACACAAAACCCAATGATAGGGAAGGAAAGGCCTTGAGAGCCCCAGAACAAAAGGGAAAGGGAAATACTTGAGCCTGGATCTGCATATGTTGGAGAATAACATAGCTAAGCAAAAACCATAATTTCAGCTATTCCCCTGGAGCTACCAAGTCATTGATCTCTCCGGGGGGTGGTGATGGTGGTGGTTATCAGACTTGACAAGTAAAGCAGGTGAACTGATTAACCTTTTTTGGGGGGGGTAGGTCTGAGGAAGGAAGGGGGAAAATAAAATTGCAGAGGGGTAGGTATGACTTTTGAGAGTCCCCTGGACTGCAAGAAGATCAAATCAGTCAATCCTAAAAGAAATCAACCCTGACTGTTCCCTGGAAGGCCAGATAATGAACTGAAGTTCAAATACTTTGGCCACCCAATGAGAAGGGAGCCCTCACTGGAGAAGAAGACCCTGATGCTGGGAAAGACTGAAGGTCAAAGAAGACGGGGACGGCAAAGGATGAGATGGTTAGACAGTGTCATCGATGCAACGAACATGAAATTGAGCCAACTTCAGAGGACGGCGGAAGACAGGAGGGCCTGGCGGGATCTGGTCCATGGGGTCATGAAGAGTCAGACTCAACTGTGCGACTGAACAACAACAACAAGGTATGACAAGGAGACAAGACTGGAAGATACCCTGAACACCCAAAGTTGCAGCGGAAAAAGTGAAGAAACAGTACGAATACAAAGACTGGCCATTAGGTGCAGAAACCAAGCGCCTGTGTGCATTCGGTAGTTCAGAGGGGTATCCGTGCTTCTCTGTTGACGTGCAATTGAACGAGAGTCCAGCAGCACCTTACAGACGAACAGAATTTATTTTGGCATAAGCACTTTTTGTGAGTCAAGAGTTCACTTCATTGGATGTACATGGGAAAAAATATTTCTACAGAGGTTTCTGTAAGCAACATCACAGAAAGCGGAGGAGGGGACAGGGCAAGGCTCATGCTAGATTTGGGGGCGAAGGACTTCCCTCGGCTCCGTCTCTTTCAGAATCCCCATTTTAGGGGCTCTTAGGGCCAGCTTGGAGGCAATTCCATTGAGGAGCGCTGAAAGGGTGCCTAGTCACCACCCATACATCTGCATCACATCCAGTGCACATGAATCTAGCACAGCAGCACTTCAGCATCTGCAGAATGTTTCCCGGCCTTCTCTTCAGACACACCAGCCTTGGAGGGTGGCTGTCCCTCCGTTACGAGGCTAAGGGAGCCGTTCTAGATTCCTCAGTCCTTGCTCAGGTTGGCCTTACGACTCCCTCCCAACATTTCACACATGAAAATGAGGACACTTCCAAGACTCCCATCTCTCTCTCTAGGTGGGTCGCCGTGTTGGTCTGAAGCAACAGGTCGAGTCCCATGGCATCTTTAAGACCAACAAAGTTTAATTCTGGGTATTAAGTTTAAATCTGGGAATGCACAGGAGAGCTTCTACCAAGAATTAAACTTTGTTGGTGTCAAAGGCGCCCCTGGAGTCTGACTTCGTTCTCTCACCCCCTTGTATACCCAAGTGCATTTCGAAGACTTCCGGGCATTTCAATTTTATGCAGAGGTGGTGATTTCCGATCCTCCCCCCTTCCGACTGTTGAACTCCGCAATGCTGTTCCTGAAGGTCTTGTTGAAGGTCATGAACAAAGGGGGAGGGGTGCTCAGGAGGTGTACAGAATTATCAGTGGGTGGGGGGCGATCAGAAACTTGTGCCTGGAAGTCTTTGGAATGTGGCTGGGTACAGGGGTCAGCGTTGCCGGCTCTCCTCTGCCTGCTGATGGCAAAGGTGCCTGAATTCGCTCTGCAAAAGCTTGTCTTGCATCGGCGCCTGAGGCAGGGAGCTAAAGAGACCGTCTCCTTCTGTTTTAAAAAGGAATACTTAAGAGAGTTTCATTCTCAAGAGCGCGCGGCTAGGTCTCCTGTAGAATGGCTGCAGCTCAACACATTCCGCGACACACTCGGTACCTTGGCGGAAGAGTTACCTGTGAAGCAGTAAAACTGGCAGTTGGGGTTTAGACCCTCAAGAACGCAGAGCCAGAGCCTGCATGTCAAGAAGCCTCCCGCTGTGACACTCTTAACGCATGGACTGTCCTGTGTTACATTTAGCCGGTCAGACTAAAGCGCTCACGCCAAACCACTGTGCTGGAGGGGTCTTCCACAGGGCCACAGTTTTGGGTTGTTTTCCCGTTGCCGCTATGGCAGGTTTCTGTGCCCCAGCCTCTCAGGGCCGACATTTTACCACCCCCACACCACTGGGGGGCTGCTTTTGGGGTTCTGGTAACCGACATATGACACATGACGGAGTGAGCGCCCGTCTCTAGTTCCAGCTCTTGCCAACCTAGCAGTTCGAAAGCAAGAAATTGCAAGTAGATAAATAGGTACCACTTCGGTGGGAAGGTCACAGCGTTCCGTGCGCCTTGGTGTTAGGCATGCTGGCCACATGACCATGGAAACGTCTTTGGACAGCGCTGGCTCTTCAGCTTTGAAACGGAGATGAGCACCGCAACCCTAGAGTCGGGTTCGACTGGCTTTCGAGTGAGGGAACCTTTACCTTTACTTTTTAACCGACATATCACTATATGGCCATGTGTCACTTAATGATGTTTAAACACCAGAAAAACCCTGTAGCGCAGAGGACGGCTACAAGGCACATGGGCAGGGAAAACTGTGCCAATATGGACAGGACCAGGGAAAATCCAGACTTCGGCTGTGATCTTTCCAAAAGCGTAGTTAGCAGGGACAGCGACTCATCAGGGAAACCCAGAAAAGGGAAACAGACAAAGCATATTGAAGCTGCTGGTGTTAGGAGGGGGGGGCTGGTTAAAAGGGGGGGCTGTGTTTAGCTCCAGATGGGTGAAAACAGATGCTCCATTTACGAGCTGGTCAAATAGCACCAGATACAGCTGCTGCTGGCCAGCAGTACTGTACGGAAAAAAGGAACACAAAACACACCCCTTATCCAAAAACAGGCGTGAATAGTGGCTTAATCAACTCTTGACAAAGTCAGATATACACCTGAACAGGCCTTAAACGACAAGTTAAATAGAGATACATTTTAAAACTATTTTGCCTTTGAAGCAATATTTGCACGTGGCGTATCTGCTGGAGATGGAAAACCGCAGCACTGGGCTCATCCAGTCATACCTCGCAAAAAAGGGAAGGGCTTCAAACGAAATATATACTAAAGCCTGGACTTTGGATTCTGGCCGCTCAAAAAGAAGGAACAGAAAAAGTCTCTACACCTGACCGTGTTTGTGTGTCACACCCAGGCTTTATGGCAGGCAGTGTTATGAGCACACAATG